TTTTGATAAATAACTTTGGTAAACGTTAATTTCATTTTCTGAAAATTATACATTTTTTTTTTAGTTTTTAATACTAAAAGAAATACTTATCTAAGATTCAAGAAGTCTATGCTTCGGCAATGTGTCTTAAATAAAAGGAATTTCATTTTTTAATTTTGGATTTGTCAAACACAAGTCCAGAAATATCTGGAAAGTGTTGATGCCCAAATGGACACGACTCGTTAAAGTGTCCCTGCTTCTTAGTTTCAGCAATTTAACCCCATCCAAAAGCCCACCACGGAGCACAAAATGCCCTGAACATTTGCCTGGCCACATTTGACATACTTGATTTGAAAGTCCTCAACTATTGTGTTAGACCGCATGCCAACTAAAAGGCATTTTTGGTATGGGAAAAAGTGATTGTGGTAGTTACAAAAAAGCTATTGCGTGGTTGCAAGCTGATAGTGAGAGTGAAGCAAACAGAAATAAACAGGTCTTCTTACAGCAATAAGGAAGACTAGAAATACTCCAATCACTGTTGGAGCCTAGATTTCTTAAAGGAAATCTGGGAAAAGCCTTGAGAGAAGTTTATACTCTAAAAATAACTCAAAATTATATTGATAAGACTTGAATACAACACATATAGAGGTCTGCCCTATTTATTAAAGACTATTAATGACTCTTCCATTCTCTAGACTGACTTTTGGACTATCTAGACTGACTTTTGGACTACATATAGAGCGTTAATAATAACTTCTATTACCAGGATATATTCAGTTTTCCACACCATAATTACTAGTTAATAGATTTTGACTATACACTTTTCAATGCACCATTGACTGTCTCCATCCTGGCTAAAGCACCATTAATGATCTGCATCAGACCCTCCTCCTTGAAGAAAACTCGCCCTCAAGTTTGAAACAATTTACCACGATCAATGAAGAACCAGAGTAAAGCCTTCCAACCTTTCTTTCTTCTTTTCCATACTCTAACCAAACACACTAATCTTTGGTTACTGACAAAGAATACCTTTGCACTAACTTTCAGAGCTCTCTTTTGAATTCAGTAGATTTCCAAAACCTGCTTAAACATAGATCAGGAACCAAAACTTGAATTAATCTGATTTTTGAATTAGAACAACCCCAAGTTATATGTTGCAGCAAGAAATATCCCAAATTGAGTCATGAACATGGAATTCATGATTTTCCAACTTCATGAAAAAAGAATCTTCATTTGCCAAGTTATTCAAGCAACCTAAATCTGATGTAATGCTTAGTGAACCACATGCCATTGGAAGTTCAGTGTTTATATCTCAGATTGCCCAACTTGAGAAGACGTCGCTGGATGAGATTTATTATTTTTACTCTCAATAGGTGCTGAAAAGATCAACTGAATGTTTTCCTTATAAGGTGTGCATACAGAATAAAAAGGAGTTTCATGACTCTCAAAGGTGTACTGCTTAGAACCAGTAGCAACATCCCACAGCTTAATTGTCTGGTCCTCTCCACTAGTTATGAAGCATAACTGTTGGTTTGGATGAGAGAATGCAAGATCACTAACACCATCAACCCGAGCGTCAATGTCTAGGTGGTTCTGTACATCCTCACCACCACGGTAGGAATATATATGCTCAGTGTCCTTGGAGTATGCAGCACCAGAACTCCATATTACTCTCTTCACTGATGCAGGATACTCATTAGCCAAAGATTCTGCAGAGCCATTGAACATAATCGAAGGTTACAGACCTTGAAATTTCTGGAAGCAAGCTTCTCCTTACCAACCTCCCACAATGCGACATAGCCAATATTCGTTCTAGAAGGAAGCAGAGTTTGTTGCACTAGATGGAAATCCATGCTCTTCATAGCATAACCCTGATTCAGATTTGCAAATAGAGTTTTGGGCAAATCATCATAAGAATATAAGACTCAGGCATAGCTCTGACCAGGATTTGCAATAGGCAAGATTTTAGCAGAGAAATTGTTGAGAAATCCATGAATTGCAGGTGGAACAGTGACAACTTCTTCAACTTTAGACAAGTTGATGGTTGCTTCCTTAGATTTCTCCTCTGTTCTCTTACCTGCTTCATTGTCCTCTTCAACATCAGCTTCTAACATGTCATTTTTTTCCTCAATGATGATTTGTTTTGCATTGATTATGCGATTATCTAAAATTATTGGACACTTGGCATACTAAAATCTTGAATCCTCACATGTAGGACCAAAATTCAGAATCTTGGGCATGGTACACCGCTGCTGACCAACTGTTTTTGGGCTGTTTAACGGATGTGTCAGCACCCAATTTTGCACTTTTAAACTGTTTATGCTGCTAACTTCTTTCTCTAGTAGGTTGTTCTGTCCAATATTCGCATTCATATGCATTCATTTGCTAATCCCTTTCTCCCCTACTGTCCGGATGCAGAGGAGAAATGATTCCGTTTTGTTCTAACAGAGTGCTCAGATGAGAAATTTGATGAGAAATTTTATGCTGCACTCTTTGAACATCTTCTTTTGTGGCTATCTTGCTTCCTTGCCCAGCCATAGATCCGCGATAATCACAGATCTGAAAGGAAAGTCTTTGATACCACTTGAAGCAAACAGAAATAAATAAGTCTTCTTACCGCAGTAAGGAAGACTAGAAATACTCCAGTCACCGTTGGAGCCTATATTTCTAAAGGGAAATCTGGGAAAAACCTTAAGAGAAGTTTATAATCTGAAAATAACTCAAAATTATATTGATTATGACTTGAATACAACACATATAGAGGTTTGTCCTTTTTATAATAAGATTATTAATGACTCTTCAATTCCCTACACTAACTTCTGGACTATATTAGACTGGCTTTTGGACTACCCAAAGAGCATTAATAACAACTTCTATTCCCAGGACATATTCAGTTTTCCACACCATAATTACTGTTTAATAGACTTTGACTAAACACTTTTCAAGGCACCATTGATTGCCTCAATCCTGGCTAAATCACCATTAATGATTTGCATCAGAGAGCCCTCATGATCGCCTTACTAGTGGTAGTTTTGGGTCATTTATTGTTTAATTTTGAGTGAGATGTATTAGAATTTAGTTTCAAAATTTATATCTAGAGGTAAGAAAAATTACAACCTAATAAGTGGGAACTATTCACATTAAAGATCCCCAAGTAAAGTTCTTGGTGTTGGAGAAACTCGCTGAGCTTGAGAAACAAGTTTAGGGGATATTTCAGGCTTCTTATTGGCAATGGGCTCCTCAATTTCCTTTGGTTTGAACATTGCCATCCGCGGAATAATTCACAATTCAGGTTAGGATGAGATGCAGTGTTGACAGATATCACTAAGAATGGTGCCTGAGCGAGCACCAGCCTTGCAGCCTTTGTTTTACCCAATAAATGCTGGCGTTGGTCGGTGTGAAATCAGGTCCTCTTTTTCTATGTTTTTTTATTTATATATTTTTAAAATCAATTTGAGTTCGTTCAGCTGGAACAGCAACTGCTATTGACATTTTTGATTTTCTATTCACTCGTGATCTGGCCTGTTCGACCCAATCATGATATTGAGGGAAGGGCATTTTAGCTCTCCATTCTTAGATAGCGCTAATATTAAAATCTGATTGTATCCATATTGATACGCTTGTTTGCTTTCTTTCTTTTTCATATTGTGGATTATGGCTGCGGCCTGATACTCACCCCCAACCCCCCACCCCTTCTCTCTCTCTCTTTTCCTTCTTTCTTTTGTAGTGGTGGGTGGGAGGAGAGTGGGGGTGTTGACCTAAACTTATGCCTCCCAGCTTGATTTCTCATCACGATTATAAAAGCAGCTGGTCCGGGGAAAATCTCACAGCCCCTTCAGTATCAAAAGGGCCTGGAATTCTATCAGAGCTCACCAATGCAAAGAACCCTGATATCCAGTTGTTTGGCACATGGGTTCAAAATTTGCTTTTATTGTTTGGCTAGCTTCAATGACAAACTCCAAAACCAGGATTCTCTAATCAGGAAAGACATCATCCAAGCTGCCTCCTGTGTTTTCTGCAGGTCCACAGCCGAACCTATTCAAAATCTGTTCTTTGATTGTGTCTTTGTGGCAGAATATAAAAAATTCTCAACCTCCAAGAGTGCAATTTAATGGCCCTCACCCTCCTTCCCTAACCCTCTAAATTGGGCTGCCCCAAACCTCAAAGGGAGCTTTGCAAACATTGGGCAGCACATGGGAACCAAAATAATTCTTCCTTTTCTACTCCAACAAACTGGTGACTACAAAAGGGAAGCTTTATTTGTCAATATTTTAACCACGAGCTCCTCCCAAATCTCCTTCATTAAAGAGTCAACGCAACCCAAACAATTGTGGCATCCCTTATTAGGAAGTATCCACCAATATAATGAACTCCATTACATTAGGACTATAAGCAAGAAAAATTGTAATGATTTGAGTCTTTCTATAGGCCCATCCATTTATAACGCATCTTTTTCCATCATCTTTTACTTCTCCATATTTGCATTAACAATATCAACTTCACACATCAAGTGACCCTAGTTTAATGATGAGATGGGAATTTCAGCCCCTAGCCATATTCATCAACTGATTTCATCATGTTAGCAAATGAGTGAAAGCTAGCCAATAAAACTGGGAATGAATACCTACCAAACAAGGACCTTTAGCTAAATTAAATGATTAAGCATGGCCATGAAAGAATCTACATATGACATCAATAACCACTTCCTTCTTTGTCAACATTCCATCTGACCTTTTCTATCTAGGGGCATTACCACTTTTCCCTTCCCCTTCGAAACAATAAATTGAACCAGGGTCCCCTTTCTGGTTATGGTTGACTCAATCAGACTGTTCAAAATGTGAGGGTGGCAAATTGACTTGGATTTTACAATTCAAATTATGTATGACACATTTCTTGAAATGGCACATCACTAACAGGATTTCACTGGAGAAGAAATAACCACAAATCTTGACTATTCTAGTAGTAGTTATTCAACAAGACGAAGCACAAATTCAGACAATTACAATTATACTAAACTATACCTCATTAAGCTTAACTGAAAGCTCATCAAGCAATTCAATGCGACTCTTTGATTTCTCCAAAGCTTGCATAACCTTCTTTTTTTGGAAAAGTAGCTCCCTTGCATTACTTTCCCTTCCATTTTGAACACTAACAGCAGCCTGCTGTCGAAGCTTCTCTGCTGCTTCAGACAACCGCATCAGCCTCAATCTTGCATTATTTGCTGCATCAACAACCAAAACATTTCTAGAAAACTGCATGGAATATGTGTCTTAAACAAAATATTTAATATTTAAAAGTACTGAACTTATTGAAAAAATAACCATACACTAAGGACTTTTTTTTTTTTTTTTCCTTATTAGGCTTTCTGACAAGAAAAAAGAAAACTATAATTTAAGAAACAAAGAGGGATAATATGGAGGCTTACTTCTGAAAGGAAAAAACAAGAACAACGAAACCCCTTTGGCAGGATCCACAAGGACAAAACCCCATAGGGATTAAAATGTTAAGCACCCGGCCTAACAAGGCTGAGGTTGTGGATTTGATTCTCCCCTCCTTGAGGCCAATCCGACAAATGAAAGGGGTGAGAAAAGAGAGTAAATAGGTAGATTAGAGAGTCGCGGGGTGGGGGGGGGGGGGGGGGGGGTGGGGGTTGGTGACAGAAGCAAGAACAGAAAATGGGGGAGAAGAAGACCAGAGAGGGAAATCAGAAGAAGCAACAATATTATTCTCCAAAATTAATAAAATCTGTTACATGAAAGCCTTTTATAGGCAAACCCTAAAAGAAAATAAAATACCCAATAATTACTAAAAAAAATCCAGTTAATACTCAAATGAAAAAAGTACTAAAATATCCCCAATAAGATGTCCCTGTGCCTACACCTGACATAGGTGTGAAACACCTCACGAGCTCCATCAGTTCTCCCCATCGAACAAGGAATCACCATGAATCATCCTGCAGCGAAGGAATAATCTGACTATCAAGGATATCGGCAATTTGATTTGTAGATTGTGGCTGCACTACTGGAAGAGGAGGCACTGGAGCTGATGACGAAGGAGATCCACCTGTAGTTAAACTATAAGGAAAAGGAGGCGGCTAGGTGCCTCGGTAAGGTGACAAATCCTATACATTAAAAATCAGACTAATACCCCTATCTGATGGTAAGTCAAATACATATGCACTGGGTCCCAACTTAGGATGGATACGGTAAGATCCACAAGCTTGGGCATGTAATTTCTTAAAGGAGTTTTTAGGGTAACGCTCTCGGTGTACACAACCTACAACATAATCTTCTTCATTGAGCCATGTATACTGTCTTATAAGATCGCCATGTAGAAAAGCATTTTTTATATCAAGCTAATGGAGAGGCCAGTCAGGATTGGTAGCAAGGGAGATAATTATTCGAATAGAGTTTAGCTTAGACACAGGAGAGTAAGTCTCGGCATAGTCAACTCCAATAGGTCTGAATGAAACCCTTACGAACAAGGCGAGCCTTTAAACGATCAACGGTGCCATCAGGATTCAATGAGCACCTACAGGCTTTGGAAGTAGATACCAAGTATGATTTGACTGTAAGGTGTGCATTTCCTTTTCCATTGGTGGGAAAGAGCCTCCCTTATGACTTAGGAATAGTAACAGATGACAAAGAGAAAGAGAGCTTGAAAAGAAGGTGACAGATGATCATAAGAAACAAAATAAGATGATGATCATAGAATCCACCTTTGTCTGCTGCAAGCAAACCACACACACACCCCACTTCTTCGCAGCCATCTTCACCACTTTTCTTTTGTCCGGGTTATTGAGTCCTCGGACATTCCAAGAAATAATTCTGCACTTCATTGAGAACAAATGGATATCCCCTCCCCTCTCCTTCTCCCTCTACCCCTTTCATGACTCCTCCCCCTCCCAGTCCCATTACTTCCTTCATAATTCACACCAGAAAACAGGCTGCAAACCTCCCTTCCCCCTCCACGGAGTCAACCTCTTTTCCTTACTCCCGGTCCGTTACCTGCTACCCCTCTCCTCCCCAGTCTTCCCCTCAGCAATTGAATGCAAAACCATACGAGCCACCTTCTCATTTGGCTCAACGAAATCCCCAATAAACTACTCACACTATCAATATTCTCCTTAACCCAATCCACCCCACTGTCCTCATGAGCTACAACAGGAAGACCCATCTAACTACCCTCCGGTCGTATCTCAGAAAGTGGTTGAATACACTCCAAGACCTCAGCCTCCTCCTATGAAGCACAGAAAATATATATTATAATATATATATATATATATTTTTTTATTTTTACTTAATTTCTAATTTATATTTAATAAATACAACTTTTAGGCCCATTATTTAATAAACACAACTTTTAGCCCAAAATACAGCCCAAGCATCATTGAGCCCAAGCCTATTCACTAAGACATAACCCTAATTGTATAGAAATTAGAAAATCAAAAGTTAGCGCATCTTCCGGACGATCACCACAGTCTGGTGTGTGAGAGAAAGCCACAGAGCAGATCCGAAGCATCTTCCTAACGATCATTTCCTAGAGAGAGATCCAAGAACAAAGTGTTCAAGTTGATTAAACTCTGAAAGTAGAATAGACACCATCAAAGTCCGGTGTGTGAAGGGGAACGAAGTAGATCTGATCCGAAACCATCTCGCCGATCAATTAGTCCGGTGGCTCCGGCTGCGGCCGCTCCTTGATCGATCAAGCCATGCAAAAATCCATAGGTTAATGTTATTTTTTTTATTCTGATGCCTGTGTTTATATCTCCTTATTATTATTATTATTATTTTTTGACAAAAATTCTTAATCCCATGTCCTGTTATTTTTTTTATTTTGATGCCTGTATATATATCTCTTTATTCATTTTTTTTTTTTTTGACAAAAATTATTAATCCCGTGTTCTATGCATGTCGCCGGCGTGTCCTTCACCGTGTCCGGCATGAAAAATATGATAAAAAAATATGACTCCTCTACAGAGGTGTCGAACACGTGTCCGAGCCTCAAACACGCATGTCCGTGTCGGACACGTATCCGACACCAGTACGACTATCCATTCCCACGTGTTGGTGCTTCATAGGCCTCCTCCCATGAGACCAACTCCCCATCAAAGAGCGCATTATCCTCTGCATCCCTTCCCCTGTCTTCATCAGCAATGCTACCCACTCCAGTACAAGTAGGAAAGCCTAAATTACCATCCAAGTCCTCTCCAATTGCTTCGGAACCAAAATCCAAAATTCAGTTCAGTCCATTCAGCGCCTTGTAAGTATGTAGCTCCTTCACCAGAGCCGAGGCAGCTTCATTACCAATTTCGATCCTCATATTTCTTCCCACACAAACCGTCACCCCATCAGCTTCTTTCACAGTCAGACTTCTATTATCATCCTCCCCGGGCGTCACAACCCTTTCTGACAACCCGAGGCCCCCACCTCCGTTCATCCTCCCATCCTTCTCCTCATCATCCACCACTCCTTCCATCATAGGCGAAAGTCGATTATTCTCCCCCACCGCCCCCCTCAACACCCAACAAGAAGGAGTAGAAGCAGAAGAAAAAGGGGTAGAAAGAGTGTTTTGAGATTGCAGAGAATGGAACATACCAGGTCTACCTTCCGTCTGATTACGAATGACCCATTTTTGTTTTTCATAACGTGACCATCGCCTTTCATAACGCCATTGTGAAGCATCGGATTGGCCATTCCTGATAAGTGCTGAAAAGTGCGCATTTAAACCCCTTAATCTTGAATGTTCTAGGACCTTTATCTATCTTATTTTCCCGTTTTAGTCTAATTTCATGTTATTCCACTTTTCAGGCACTTATCTCCAAAATATGTCAAATCAGCTGAATTAGAGCATTGGAGAAAGCAATCTAAAGTCTAGTGGAAGAAAGGAGCAAAGTGGTGAAAAAGTCCTCTTCGATCGATCGAACCAAGCTATGATCGATCACATTGCGATCGTTCCAACCATGCCATGATGGATCGAGCCCTTTGTCCTTATCTTCAGGAAAATTTCCTATTCGATCGATCCAACCTTTCATTCGATCGATCGAACCTTTTGATCTTATACTCATAACCACTTTTGTCCTTTTCCCATAAATATCTCAGCCTTTGTCCTTATCCAAATAATTGCGCCTCTTACTTCGATCAATCAGAGCATCCATGTGATCAATCGTGCCTCAAAATGCGTGCAAAACAGATTTTAAGCTGAATTAAAGGTGTGCTCGTGGTGCAATCATTTGGAGGTCCTAGTGCACGAGGTCTGACCATTGGGTGTGACATTTGAGCTACCTATATAAGGAATTTGGCTATTTTTAGCAAAGAGGTTGGTTAGTTAGAGAGGAATTGGCTAGAGATTAGAGGGCGAAAATTACATTTTTGGAAAGTTCTTCTATTCTTCTAGGATTTCCACCAAGAATACCAAAGGAGGAGGATGAATTCAAACATGGAGAAAGCCCTCGAGGGTTGGATGACACCAATCATGAGTGGCTAGACTATTCTCTTGGGGCTAAAGATAGCCCTAAGCATGCCTCCTAGACTTTGATGATTGTAATTAATGGGGATTTGTGTTGTAACTCTTGTTTTGACCTCTTATATATATAAATCTTGTTTCTACATAATTTGTGTAGTTTAATACTTCCAATTGATCTTTTAATTCTATTCATATGTCTATGTATGCAAGAATGAATGGTCATGTGCTTTACACTTGATTCTTTACATTTGATGCATGTCTTTGTGTTTTATAATGTTTGGTCTAGTGTGGTTCAAGGCATGGTGCTTAATGGATTTCTCTTGTGGTTTATTTAATGGTTCGTACTTATTTCTTAATGAATTGTGCCACCTCCTTAGTTTAATTAGTTTAATTTTCATGTCATTAGCATAATTGTAGCTTAATTGCCTTAATTTCCTAGATAGGTGGATATTCCATTCTTGTTGTTTGATGATCCATGCTTATGAGTACAAGTAGTATATTTCTCTAGATTCTTGAGTGTGCATTGATTGTGGGCTTATGGAAGGATTAATGGCTTAGACAAGGATTGATATGTTGTGTTATTCACTAAATTGATTAGACAATGTATGCTTACTTGGCCATCCAAGTTTAATGTTTTAATTAATGGCACACACTTTGTTTACAACACATAATCCCCCAAATTTATCAAATGTTGAATGTGTAGGAAGGCAATGCTTAGTGGTGAACTCTATGTCCGAAGAACCCTCTCTCATTCTC